TTCTATAAATGGCACAAGCATACAGTGCGCCTTGTGAAAAAAAAAAGTGACAAAAATCTCTGAACGTCAGCGCGCATAGTGGATTCATTATTATTTGTTGCTGATGTGATCGTTGCAGCATTATTCCACATTTTTATCACACATTATGGATGTAAATCAGACTTTGTGCCATTATTTGCATTGCGTACACTCACACAAACATGTCAGAGTGATGGAAATATCGATTCTGGCCTCTCGTTCGGGAGCAGGTATGGAGCTTTAGTCCTGATGAGGGATGAGGGCTGAATCTAACGCTGGTTTATGGGACGCTGAAGCACCAAATGGCCCATGTTATTAGTCTGATGACGAGAGGAATGGAGCTGCCATGTTAGGAATAGATTAACTCCAGGGGACAGTTTGTCATGGAGAATTGCTTCTTTAGCTCTATTTCCATTAAAAAAAATAAAAATAAAAAAAACGGCACTGAGTGGTTTTCATGATGTTTGGATCCATAAATATCTGTATTCTTCTGCAGATGTGGATGAATCAATATTTTGAAAGGAACTACTAAAAGTTAAAATAGTTCATCCAAAAATGAAAATTGACCACGATGACTAGTGCACTACAGTATATTAATAGACATTTCAATATGATTATTGTGAGGAACAAGCCAAAAGTTCACAGAAAGTATATTGACATTAACTCTAGCTCTCTTTGGCGTGTTTATAAGAGTTCATGTAAGAAGTTCAAGAGCTAATCATTCAGATATTTTCAGTTAGCACTTCACAAAACCTTTTCTGACTAGTGCTGTTTCATTTGTGAATCATTTGGTGCTTCAGAGACTCATGACTAACACAAAAGATGCTAACTTGTTGCCGCCTACACTCTTAAAAATAAAGGTGCTTTATTTTTATACACTCTTAAAAATAAAGGTGGACCATTTTTGGTTCCACAAAAAAACATTCAGTCAAAGGTTCTTAAAAGAACCATCTCTTTTTTTTACCTTTTTATAATCTGAAGAACCTTCTTTCGCCACAAAGAACATTTTGTGAAACAGAAAGGTTCTTCAGATGTTAAAGGTTCTTTATTGAACCATTTAGACAAAAAGGTTCTTCTATGGCATCGTGAAGCACCTTTATTTTTTTAAGAGTGTACTGGTGTATTGATGGAACCCATAGAAACCAATAAAAATACAAACAAATTGATTTTTAATGTGCTTAAGTGTTAAAAGTAGTTAGTAGAATGTCTAAAGTGGACTATCGAAATAAAGTGTAACCAAAGTAAAAAGTACTGATTGATGAATGTTTATTTTGTAATTTTAACTTGCATTAATTTATATTTCATATTTTTTATTTTATATGTTTTATATATTCCTACTGCTCAAAATATCTGGGGGAAGGGGGCTTGCCATACAAAAAAAAAAATAAATAAATAAATAGACGTCAAATAGGGCAAAAAATATACATTGTTTCGGAATATGGTATGCAAACATAGTAGTTAAAACTGCTTAGTAGGAGGATGCATAAGAATTATTTTGTGTTATTTTAATGTTATATTTCATTTTATACCTTGAGAGGGTGATACACAAATGTGGGCATGGTCACAGTAAAGAATTTCATAAAGTGGCTTCAAACAGCTCAGCCTTTTACAACAGATTTAGTTTATAAATAACTGACAGTAGCAACATAAATGTGATTTTCATTTACAATAATACATCCTAAAATTCAGCTTTTAGGAACATACTTCTCACGCCATCAATCGCGCCATGAGACACCTTGAGTGAATTCACAGGAGACTCGCTCTGACCGAATCATTTGAATCAATGAGTCGTTGATTCGAGAACAGCTGCAATCCGATTAGTCCAATGTGTGCGATTTGTGAAGTGATATAACAGGTTAATTGAAAAGAATCAACTCGTCCATAAATCGTGTCTTGGAGTGGGTGATGGTTTCTCCAGTTCAAAATAATAAGAACCAACATGTTTTAAGAAAAGCAGTGTATTATGCTTTTAGATAAAAGATCATCAAAATAAAAATAGTCTGATAAAGTACAGATACTTTAAAGACATATTTTAAGTAAGTACACATACTGTGTTACTGTCCTCCACTGATAGAACTGGAATAGAACTAGAATAGAACTGAACACAACTGGAATCAAAGATATTGCACAACATCCCCCGATTTTTAAACATTTTTTCAATTTGATTTGATTTTTTCAAACCTTTTGATTTCAATCCCTGCTCAAGAGAATCCAACTTTGTTTGATACTTAAATCAAATAACAAGAGCAACAACCATTGAGAATGTTGGCATGTCTTCCAAGAAAAAAAAGAGTTGTTTTGTGTTGCATCTCGCTGTGTTCTGATTATGTTGATCAAGCTATTAGTCATCTGTCCTTTGTCTCAATGTATTTTAAAGTGATGCCATAAATATATCTTGCTTCAGTGATTCTTCCATTTCCCGCGGTAACTCTGGCAGTCGCTTATGCCTTATCACACCAATTATGTAGAGACATGGCGCTTTTTTTCCTCATCAGATGCCCATCTTTTCCCCGTTTATTTATTCATCGGCTCCGTCCGGCTATGGCATGTGGCTGTCTTTCATATATGCTTCATACGTTTCTCGCAAACACGAATCATCGATCTCTGATCTCCCTCTACGACGCATTTTTCAAAGGCCTTTGTTCATTGTAGGAAATGTTAGAAATGTTAGTTGTTACGGTGAAAATTAGAGGCAGAATTGAAACCCTAGCGCTCCAAACAGTATTGTATTACACAGAGCGTATGAATAATAGATGCCTTGTGTCCAGGATTCGCAGAGTGGTGTTAAAATTAAAGTGTGTTTTCAACAGAAGCGTATTATATTACAGCATTATGAAAGTGTTTTGCCTGAATGCAGGTCGTAATGACGTGTTTAATGTTGGTTTGTATTCGGGAAGCTTTTTGTTTGATTGCTGGTGTGACAGATGTGAGTGACATAAGGAAATGAAAGGATATTCAGTGTGTTGCTGAACCAGAGCTCTTCTGTGTAGAGATGAGGTGCTCGAGTTAATCTCACACCACTTTATAATAGGCAAATAAAGCTGCTTTCAAATCAACTTTAGGCCCAATTTTTATCACTCAGCAGCTGGTGGGGAGCGTGAAGCTTTTAAGCTGGACTGAGAACAGTGCAGCCAGTGGTCTGTGATAACAGCGCAAGACACAGTCTAGTCAAATGCTATAAAAAAAACAAGAGCACACGTTTACATTTAACACGGTTAGGGACATTTTAAAACCATTCAAAATGACCAGATGTTTTGCCCAACAACAGTGAAATTGTCTGTTCCACCTGAAAGGCAGTTATTAGCTTATGTTCAGTCATTTGGAAAGGACCAAGCAATATTTTACAATATTTTACAATACTTATAAGACCACATTTTGTCAATAATTTTCTCATCTGTCAAAATAATATTAGCATCTCTATTTGGGCACTTTTCTCATATTTTATTTAAATTTTTTTTTTAAATGAATTCAGTGAATTAATATCATTCAATTCATTTATTAAAATTATTATTATCATCATCATCCTCATCATCATCATCATCATCATCATCATCATCATCATTATTATTGATGTTGTTATATAAAATTAATGGTGATTAATTTAATGATTAACAATACTATTAATAAATGATATTAGTAGTAAATAATATTAGTAACAACAAAACAATAATAATAATAATAATAATAATAATAATAATGAAATGAATAATTTACTGGGGTAGGATAACTAATATTTTGCACACTACTTCTGATGTCAATATTCAAATCTACACCCATGTACAATACATATTCTGTAAATGCTGATGCTTTATCTATACACATGATTTATTGATTGTTCCTTTCTTTGACTGTTATCTCTCAGCATGAGGCATTTGTTTGCAAGAATGTGTTATAAATAGCATGCAGTGTTGCATAAAACTTCAATGAAGATTTATTGAAGTTTCTGTTACTTTTCATATAACATTGTGGGGACTATAATAGTTATGATTTTATCTTTGTTCTGTCCAAGAATGATTAAATATATACACAGATGGGCATGGTGTAAATACTAAATGACTCCTTGAGGATTATCTTCATTATCTTCTTGATCATGTTTGACAATGCAGTTGAGCTGATGATACCACATCGATTCCCACAATGCACTTTGTGTTCTGATGTGGGTGGAATGTCAGTGTTTTTTCCACTGCATTCAAAGTCAAATATATGAATGGTATACAACTGAGAGTATACAACTGCGAGCTCCATGGGAGTGTTCACAATGACAGCAATTAAAAGTTTCGGAGTAACATTTTATTTTATTATATATTGTTTGATTTATTGGATTCTTAATTATTGTAGTATTTATTTGTAATGATTATACTAATTTCTAACTATTTCCCTCTAATGCAGTCTGTTTTGGGCTGGTTGGGAAGAGAATGATGTAAAATGTAAAAAGCGTTGTCTTAGTAAAAATTGCATTCATTCTTGCAAAAAATAAAAGTAAAAATCTGCAAACTCACATTGAATGAATGAATGACTTCAATTTGCTTTGGCACTGCTTTCAATGTGAACTTTATCCATACTATATTATTCAAGATGTGTTGGCATATTATGGAATTTACTCAGGGTAAATAATAATATAATAATAATAATAATAATAATAATAATAATAATAATAATAATAATAATAATAATAATAATAATAATAATAATAATAATAATAATAATAATAATAATAATAATAATAATAATAATAATAATAATAATAATAATAATAATAATAATGGTATAAATTAAACACAATGAAATTAAATGAAATTAAATGAAATTTAATTAAATTAAATTAAAAGTGTGTGTTGTGGAACTTAGATGGTGATGCAAGACTTAACTATATTTTGTATATTTTTACATATATTTGTTCAGTCTGTGTCACAGGTCTATACTTTGAAAGTTATAAACTTGACAGATAATTCTAAGTAATTCTGTTCTCTTTGTGTCCCCAGATGGACCTCTAGGACCAAGAGGCTTAGTGGAGGCCACAGAGATGTGCACCCAAGAGTGTCTGGTGTTGGGCCACTCCGACAACTGTTGGATGCCGCCGAGCCTGAGCTCGTACCCCTCGCCCAAGTCCCCCGTTTCCTCATTCAACAACCAAAAGGAGTGGGCTAAAGAGAGACTGCTGAACGGCCACACCCTGACCCGCAGCTGGAAGGGTGAACGAGGAAGCCAGGAGCAGTTTGGAGACAGGAAGACCTTTGGGAGCTCAGAGGGACATTTTGGCAGCGGCGGCGGTCACATGGCCGACATCCCATTGGCCAGCCTGAAATCTTACCAGCCCGCCTCCGGCCCCAACAGTCCTAAAGAACAGCAGCTTTAAGAGTGTTTTTTGTGTCTGGATCATCCCAGCAACTTTTGAGAGCTTTAGTCCATTCCTTTTTTTCCCCCTCTTTTTCTTAGCTCGATGCTAATGCGCTGTGATAGTTACGTGTATGGAGTAGACCTTAGACTTTATCGCTTGTGCAGGACAGTATACTATGCGAATCCGACTCGCCGACGGCCCGTCTGCGGAGATCTTCTCGTGCAAATCCATAGCTGCCCTTAAACTCCCATGGTTTGCTGCAAATTCACATTAAAAGGAATCATTGTATACTTCGTCTTGAACAAAGACTGCAAACAAACGTTCAAGATGAACAAAACAGGGCTGTGCTCTATGTATCACGGTTATAAAAAAACAAACAAAAAAAAACAAACAAACAATGTAACAGCTGACCAATATATACAAATATTGTGACGTGGTTGTTTTGAGACTATATTAATCTGCACCATCCGAGAAAATGGAATTTACAAATCGAGAAAGCGTTGTGCTAATAACACTGTTAGTGGAAATCGTTTAGTCTGTCATCGTTGAAGTGTTTGTAAATAGAACTTAATACTAACTGGTTTTATGTACTTGTAATAATCACATGGAATAGATCAGTGAACATGACAGCTGTCTTTTATTATTCATCGTACAGGACGTGTTGTTTTTATCGGCCTTTTGTCATTAACGTCATTGTCTTCTGGAACAGAGGACCACAGTCTGGATCTGTAAAGCAAACACACACACACACACACACATGCACACGCACATGTAAACACGCACCCACACCCACTCTAGCGGAGATTTAACTAACTAATCCCGGATGATAATGTCAGTCGGTCATGACATTGCACAATTGTCCCATTTTTGCATTTACTGAGTCGATGAACCTGGCAAACGTATTTTTTTCAAAGCTATTTTGTATTATTGATGTAAATGCTCAATTTCTACTTACTGAAACGGAAAGCTTGATGTCTTTTCCTCAAAAAAGAAGAAGGATGTTACAATTCAACAGCAATATATTTGTAAATTCTCAACATCTAATTTCAAATGTCATACTTGTACATGTTTAATCGAACTCGTGCTTTAATTGAGAGTAGTATTTGCAAACTTTGAAAACAAAGTCCTTTTTTCTGTCATAATATATCGTGTATGCCCACTTTTTTTTGACATGCAAGAGAAGTGAGTGTAGTTTTCATGTCTGTGAATTCATGACATATGCTACATATCGTACCGATCTACAGGTTTTACGAGAACAAGCGCAGCAGCCCCTCGTCTCTGAATGCCAAACACAGTAAATGTTTGTCAGGCGCCAATATGCTCCAGAGAAAAAAAGAAATGAATAAATAAAAAAATACACATCCAAACTGGAGAGGATATTAAAAGACAGAAAAACAATGAACAGAATGCGATCAAAAGAGCATGTGCATAGTTCAAGGACTGAGATTTTGGTTTGATTTCTGTTTTTCCTTTAAATGTTTGGCCTGTTCTTTTTCCCTTCTTGTCACATGGCATGGCAGCCAGTTCAGACAATGAAACCGCATGCTTAACAAGACGAACTAGCTTTTAAATGACTTAGTTTCACCTTATTTTTCATTCGGTTGACGATTATTGATTCGTAACGCAGTGAGGTCATTCATTTTGTATAGCACCTTTATGTTGGATCACAATATTTAAAGTACAAAAAAGGGTATAAAAAAAACTATACAAAAAGAGACAAGAGTGGTGTAAGTTGCTTTCAGCAGTATGTTTGTTGGTTGTGGGGACGTTTGCCATCATAGATATTTAAACAGTTACTCCTTGTTGCTGCTCTACAGGTATACCGCTACTGCAATAAATGTTTTAAATTTGTGCAGGTTTGTGCCTTGTTTTGTTCCTCGCCGCACTGCCTCGTCTTCAAACGCTACATTAATTTTATGGGAATATTTAACAATAGCTTCATCTACCATGTATTTATGGACATCAAGCAATATCATTGCTCGCTGGTTGATCTTTCAGAGCAAGAAAAAAGAGAAAAAAAATGTTGACGTGCTGTCAGAATATATATAAAGCTTTAGATGAGAATTTTTAATGTTTGTGTTCACATTAAATTCTTTAACTTTTGAGTATATTCTTTAGCAAGTTTTTTTTTTTTCTCTCTCTCTCGTGAAAAAAGGGAAACATAAGCACGTCTCAATTTGTCCTTCCTACAGTCTCTTTTTTTAAGTCACATTAACTCTACATGTGATTGTAATATCTAGTTGCAAAGTACATTGTAAACCTTTAAGAGCCTGCAATACCTGAGCCTGTAATGAATAATTGTTTCATAACAATTATTGCATAATTATATCTTTATGTATCTTAGAACATTGCTACACATGCTTCTTACAAATACTCACAAATACTAAAGCACAGAAACTTCAGCAGGCCCAGACTCTGTGGAAATGCATTAAAATATGGTCAAATGTGCTGATAGTACGACACTCTTACTGGTATATACAAGCTTTAATCAATTTAGACAATGTATTTGTTGATGCTTTACAATAAGTTCCAATTTGTTAACATTAGTGGATGCGTAAGGTAACAAGAACAATTCAGTTTTTTGACGGTAATTTTTAGAAATTACTAAATTTAGAAATATACTATTGTTCATGGTTAATTCATGTTTTTTTAGAGGATTAACATTTTGTTGTTATCATTTGTCAATTCTGTCATTTTATTTTAAGGTCCAATTTTCAAAATTAACTAACTGTTAAAGGGATAGTTCACCCAAAAATGAAAATTTGATGTTTATCTGCTTACCCCCAGGGCATCCAAGATGTAGGTGACTTTGTTTCTTCAGTAGAACACATATGATGATTTTTAACTCCAGCCGTTGCAGTCTATCAGTCGTATAATGCATGGCAATGGTAACAAAATCTATGAGAGTAAAAAAAACATGCACATACAAATCCAAATGGCGTAGTTTACGCAAGTGCCGGAAGTGATGAAACATCAAATTTTCATTTTTGGGTGAACTATCCCTTTAACTGTGACTTTTGCCTCAATGACCTCCTAAGTTGCTGCTTATTAACCCTCTGGGGTCTGAGGGTATTTTGGGCCCTGGAGAAGTTTTGATATGCCCTGACATTTGTGTTTTTTTTCAGTGTCTAAAAACATATTAATGGCTAAAGACTGATAACACTGTATTCGACACAAACTGGGTTACAATAATATGTGAGCAGCATGAATGCACATGTTTGTGTTTTAGAGAAAACAACGTTTATGTGTGGTTAGTGAGCATACGGTAGTTAAGTTTAGGTTAAGATTAAGGGATCTAGAATATGGTCATGCAGAATGAGGCATTAATATGTGCTTTATAAGTATTAATAAACAGCCAGTATAGTAACACGCATTCCAGTTAATAGCAAGAATTAGTCCTTGAAGTGTTACCATTCAATTGAAATATCCTTTATCGTTATTCCATCTAATGCATTAAAGGCAGAGTAAGCGCCATCTCTATTTTTCTGTCGCTCGGCTCGGCTAATGTCCGTCCCATGCACTGAAAGCTCTCTCCCCAACATCACGAGTAGACACGCCCCTTATTGCTGATTGGCTACACGTTTGTTTTGCTATTTGGCCCGAATCAGTTTTCTAAAGTGTTTTTGAAAAATCACATACCTTGCCTTTAACTAAAGCTAAAGAACTGAACCTTATAGTAAAGTGTTACCAATTTTTTTTTAAATAAACTGTCCGTGGGAGGGATATAAAATATGTGATATGAGATATGAATGTGGAAATCTGTGGATTTTTCTTCATGCACAGATTCCATGTGGTTCTGGTCATTACAAACAAAATAGTCAACACTTTGTGACCTTGGTTTCCAGTGACTGCTATTCAGAAGACAGATCACAAGTTGGTGTGGGCCGAACACATTGTGGAGTTCTCGTTTAGCTTTCTCTCCTCGTTCACTCGTTCACCATGTTTTTTCGGCGGCGGCGTTTTGCCCAAGCCGTCAATAGAGTTTTTGTTTACACTGTCTGGTGCTTGTGCTTTGGCTCCGAGGCAAATTGCTAGGAAGTGAATTTAGCATGAAACTGATGCCCAGTAATGAAGGCCAAGCATACAGGCGAGCAGTTGGAGTAATTATATTTATTTTGCTCTCCCCCCTCCACATTTTTTTTTCTCTCTCTCTCTGGTTTCTCCTCCTTCTGTTGATATGTTTATCTAGCCTCCCCCAGTGGACCTGCTTAAATTCGTATTCTCCACGCTAGCTATCGACTTGGGCTAGAATAGCTTCTGAAAAGCTTCAAAGCTAATTGCCTTGGAAGTGCAAGGGGAAGCAAATTAGTGTCACACCACAAGAAGTGAAAGAAACGTTCCCATTTCCTATTCACGTGGCTTTGTGAGAACAATTTCCGATGCGCACCAGGCCTCCGCTGGGCCAGTGAGCGGCAGGCGAGCGGCCCAACTGAGATTTGGTCGAAGAAAGTCTGAAAGTTGGTGATTTTTCCTGAGTGCTCATTGGACGAGGCAGAGAAATGGAACAAATCTGTCTTGAAATTGGATGTAATATCAATAGGGCAGAAAATAATGAGCAGGTACAGGTCTTTGTGTGGAACCAGAACGAGAGACGTGATCCTTGGCTTGTGTGGATTCATACTGTGTCCGAAGACGCGATACCGAGGAGTAGTTCAGTGGAAAATGAAAAAATCTGTCATTTTGAAATCCCTCGTGCTGTTACAAACCCCATATGACTGACTTTCTTCCACTGGATTTACACAGAATGTTCATGCTGCTTTTTTCCATAGACTGGAACAATATTGTGACCAGGGGTTTTAAAGCTCCTAAAAGGACAAAATGCACCGTAAAGCAGCCATACATCTATATTCTAAGTCTTCTGAAGTTATACAATTGTTTTGTGTCAGAAACAAACCAAAGTCTTTTCCCCCCCACTGGCATGTACACTACACCTTCAAAGGTGTACGGTCAGGTATTAATTTATTTAGAGCTTAATGCTTAGTAAGAAAGCATTAAATTAATCAAAAGTGACAACAAAAACATTAACAATGTTAGAAAATTATTCTACTTCAAGTATGTTTTGTTGTTTTGAATATTCATCAAAGAATGCTTTTGCCATCACTTGAATAAATTGCATTTTAAAATGCTTATTGTAACAGAAAACTGCTTTGATGAATGGAAATCATATTTCATAACATTACTGTTTGTGCTGATTTCTTTTTTATTTTTTAGATTAAATAAACTTCTGTAATGGCATGTTGTTGATTCAATCACATGAAATATTATCACAGTTTATTTATATATTGCACATGAAACACAATTTAGGGTCAAGCCACCCTGTTTAACATGTATTTCAAATTCATATAACTTCCCTGCATCCATAGAACACAAAAGGAGAAA